ACCAGCATCACAAGAGGAGCCTGAGAATCACGACTATACACAATGTCAATCCCTCCTGATGCATGATATCCAAGCCTCTGCAAGGTTAGGGGCTCAACACCCCTTTTTGCTGCCCACGAAATCAAAGTAGCCTTCAATGACTTAGATGAGGCAGCACTGGAATCCGGGCTTTGCTTCAAGAGCATCCTCAACCATGCCGTTGCTTCATCTGAATCGAGTGCCCTAATTGTGGCACGGCCCTGAGCATCGGGAGCTGGCATGAAAGGGCAGTTCCCATAATCCCTTACGCCTAGCTGCTCTCTGCATTCCCTCCACAGCTGACCGTAAGGCCTTAAACCACAAGCAGGGGCTACTGCATGCAAGAACCGATGCCTCTTGCTCTGTAACCTGCAAGTCTTATGCAAGCCAATCCTCAACTCAATGTAAGCAAGTTCTCCTGATGAACTCAAGTCCCAAATCACTGTCTCGGTGTGTTGCACGTCGCTCCAGCGACAGCGCGCGTATGCACACACTAAAGCTGCTCCAGCGAACAGTCTGGTCCACAGGTCTGCATGCCCCTCTAGTGCAGCGTGTAAGACACCCAACTGCTCGACCGAAAGCGGCGGGGCCTGCTTCGCTTCTGCAAAACACTCCGTCACACACAACCCTTTGCACCTACGGCTGCTGCACACTCCTTGTAGCTCGGAAACCCCCGCCACGTGAAGAGTGAAGTTCAAGGCCTCCATCACGGAGGCTATGCGGCTTAGAGGAGCCTCGTCTCTCTCCAGCAGCTTCAAGAACTGATACACGTCTTCTTCACCGCATGGGAACAGGAGCTCCTTCTCTTTCAAGAAATCTTGCAACAGCATCAAAGCCCTAGCTCTTTTAAGGATAGTTGATGGTGCTTTGCCTTTGAAGGTGTCACCTATCACTTCCAACTGTTCCGATCGCGAGGAACACGCCTCCACTTGGGATGAGAGCACGCATGGTCCCCATCTCAGGGCCAACTCAAGCCATGTTTGCAAGCCGATATCAAGCTGAGCACTCCT